GGATAAAATGAGGGGAGGAAAGGAAAACCTGTGCAACCAGGAAGATTGAGCCTGGTTAGGAATAGAAGATAGGAAAGAGAAAGAGAGAGAGAGAGAGAGAGAGAGAGTGAGAGAGAGAGAGAGACAGAGACAGAGACAGAGAGAGAACATAAAAGAGGGAGCTAATATTGGTTTGAAGATAAAATTGAACACAAAGAAAGGTCGAGCGAACTACAAAACTGCTCCCAACTAACAATCTCAGCTTCCGTGGAAAGGCTATCATAAATGCCCTTCTAGGAGAGTGAGATCAACATCTAACTTCTCCATGGAGCCCTCAACTAATGCCTGTTGAAAATAGGAGCAAACACCCATATATAAACACTGAGTCGAACTGGAACCCAGAAGCAGATGGAGAGGACAAGACCATGCTGCAGAAGCACATAGAGACAGCTTACCCGAACAAGGATTAGCTAATGGGCCCCCAGACTGATAGCTGGGAAGCCAGCATGGGACTGACTCAGGCCCCCCTGAATATGGGTCTCAGCCAGAAGGACTGAGCAGTCTAAGGGACCTCAGTCAATGGAGCCACGATGTATCCCTGGTGCACAAAAGGACTTTGCGAACACATCCCCTATGGAGGGATAACTGCCTTAATCTAGAGACAGGAGAGAAGCCCTAGTCCCTACTTCACATGGCCTGTCAGATCTACATGACCCCAACTGGATGGCATTCCCCTACATATGGAATTGGGGTGGGGGGATGAGAGGGGAGGGTGTTTAGAGTGCATGTGAGAGGGCAGAGAGGGTAAAAGTGAGGGAAGGAGGGAGGGAGGGTTGGGAGGAAGGGAGGGAGGGAGAGGGAACTGGGATCGACATGTAAAACAATGAATTAAATTAAAAAAAATGCTTTGACTCCAAAATTTAAGTTGAAGGACAAGTTACTGGGGAAAAGGATTTCTATTTTTATTTCCACAGAAAATGAAAAGATGTGGATTCCTTCCAGACTAATGAGGTTTGATCACGCCAGACCGCCTGAAAGAGAGTACAAGCTAATCCTACATTCAAAACAGCTGGACAAAACAGCCCTACAGACTACAGCCAGGATATCTGAATCTTCTTCGAGTCCCACCAAGACAGTGCCCCTTACCAGCAGGAAGTAGCTTGGAAAGAACGACGCCCAAATTCCCAAATATTGTTTATAAATATTTGTTTTCATTTAATTGGACTTTGTTATATAAAATTAAATCAAATAAAAAAATAAAAAATAACTCAAAACATAAAAAGTTCATTCATGAAATTTCCTTGTTTCATTTCCTGAATTCAGCCTTTTCACAGGCCTTGGCATCACTGATCTTCAAGAGAAAAAAGGCGTTTCCAGGGTTGATTCCCACAACTCAAAATTGTTCTCATCCACTAAGCATGCTGGTAATAGTTCTGTGTACATGGGATCTATGAGGTGGTCAGTGTACTAGAAAGTAACTGATGGCAAAAGTGTGTTGCCATCCTTCTAGACAAATATCATCCAACGACTTCAATATTTACTAGTGTTTGAGAAAAGCCCAGGGTCTGGTGGTCAGAATAGAATCTGTGTTCCAAGTTCAGGAAGAAGATAGCACCTCTCTTTCCACACCTCTAAGGTCTCTCAGTCTGCCATTGCTCTGAAGCAATCAATGGTAAGTTTCCCTCTGTGTTGGAGAAGCTGATATAGGCCACCTCATATGTAATTTTCTCCCAGACAAAATACCTGGCCTGAGAATCTCATCCTCTCTCAAAACATTTACTTACTATACTCAATCTTCCCTTCACATGATGCATCACAGATTAGGGCACTGGATTCCCAGTAGATATCAGTTCCCCGAAACAACTCAGTGAGCTGTTCCCTGCCTGAAGGTGTCCTGGAAAACAGTTCAGACACCATACCCACCTCTGCTTCACACTTAACCTATGGCCCTAATCATGGGCTCCACCATAATCAAAGACTTCGTGAAAGCATGACCCCTTTGGTCATCATTGGTCATAGAGAAGTCATGGCTGAGGGACTTGTGAAGGTACATCTCAGCATCGAACTTGGCAAGGCCTACTTACCTCACTACTTTGGAGAATAACAATGGTAATGTAAGGTCAAAAGTAAGTTAAAAATACCTCCGTGAGATGGGAAAATGATGTCAAAATCTTGGATCAGGTGATCAGAAGGAACATGAGAATTCTGGATGAAGAAGGCTTGAGAACAGAGACAAAGATGTCTTCAGGTCATTCAGACAGGACATGAGGAGACAACACTGCATGACAGAGACAAACTTCTCTATTGCCACACTCTTCAACAGTAGCCCAGGAGAGTAACCCCTTCCTAAAGGAGCTTCACACTTCTACAGATTGACATGAGCCATAAATTTGAGTACAGGGAATACCTCTTCATGCAGAGCCCAGTGGGAACTCTTCTGCAAGATACTTTTGTTCCTGACTTTACTTATTGAAAACCCCTCCCGAACAAACTTCCCTTTTTCCTGACTCTTTTGAGGTTAGATCCTCAGGACAGACTTTTTCACTATTTTTACAGGTCCTCTCATTTCCTCTTTATCCTCTCCAATTCACTTCTCCCTGTTCTTCCCCATAACCTCCCTTATCCCATTTCTCACTGGTTTTGCACTACCTGAATCTTTTCCTAAAGACAATCAGAAAGCAATTTGGAGGGGCTTGAGTGATCAAAGACGATTGATGCTGCAGAGCTGAATATATTCTGTCCTGTTCACAGAAGCAACCCTATTTGATGCATGGAAGCGTGGTTCTTCAAGACCATAAAAACAGGGAAGTAGATCTTAACTGGCTTCAAGCTACATGTGACTGTTCAGGGATGAACAACAACATGACAGGATGGCAGTGGCAGGAACGCTTTGGGAATGTGGTAGCTGAGGCTGAATTGTTACAGGATGGATACTAAGTCCTGTAGCCCTTACATCTTGCTGCACAAGACACAGATTTGTGACCAAATTCCTTCCTATTTCACAGCAAGAAGCTGTGTTAAGTGGGACATTTCATTTCCTCCAACTAAACACCCAAAGAATAATGGAAGCACCTCAATTAGTGACTGGCAGTCAGGATTACTCAGAACAGAGGAAGATGGGACTCCACTGGCCAATACCTGACATTTACTCCAACAACATCCTAGCTCAGTGGGTAATAACAAGATGACATTTCCAAGGCAGCGTCCTTTTGTGTACCTTACATGCTAGGATGACCAGAGCAGTTCCTGTAAACCTAATTGCCAGCTGTTCCTACTCTCAGTCCCATTATTGACTTCACGGGACCATTGGTCCTTCACTAGCTTGTACAGAAACCCTGTCAGAGATCAAAACAGTAATCTCTTTCATAGCAGTTGTTGACAGGAAGTCCCCACGACAGACTGTATTCATTAAACTGCCCCACATTTCCCTTTTTTCCTACTTCAATCCTGTTTCCCAATTAGAAACCATGTCCTTCCCCCAGAGGATTTACACAGGTCTAGCTGTACATTCCAAAACAGTCACAGAATAAGTTGGAATGGCTAAAGTGAACCAGATGATGAGCAGCCTAGACTAGTACAGAAGGCACTCCTGGATATAGAAGCAGCCATTTGCCATGCCGTCTGTAGGTCCTAAAAGAAAAAAGCTAGGGAGATAGGGTCATTGGGTAAACGTGCCTAATGAGCACGTCTGGGTACAACAACAACTGCTGGTGCTGGAGGAAGCTGAAGGAGAAGCAAACATGCACATCACACAATAGCACGAGGATGGGTGCAGGAGCCTGGTGACTTGGATAGCTCGGTGTTGACATTCTGCAGATCTGTCCATCCATCCATCCTGGTTCCCTTCTGAGCAGTCACTCCTCACCAGAGTTGGTGTTCTACTAGGCCATTTCGTTTTCCACACTTCAAAGCAGAAGGAAACATGAAAGCATCTCTATTAGCAACTTGGACACAACAAGGTTTGGTACCAATGTTCCACTATTCTGAATCTTTGCCCACATTAGCCAAAATCACACCCTTCCTTCCCATCTGGCACTTCCCATTCTATGCTATCTCATTTTGGATCCATGTTCCAGGCAATTACATGAAAAGAAAGCTATGGCATTTTGAGTCTAACGTACCAGACATCTTAAATTCTGTGCCCTCTCAGTGGATACAACTGTCATTTAACATGACTATAAAATAATTTCTTGAAAATACAATGGAACAATTCATCTGGGTGACTAAACCTACTGCAGTGCAGGTAAAACTCCATGGTCCCTCCTTCCTCTGAAGCCCCAGAAACAAGGGGTCGAGGCTCACCTGGGGGTGGGCAGGCAGCAGCAGCAGCAGCAGCACAGCACCCTCAGTACATTGGAAATGTGCTTCCTCATCAGTTTCCAGCCCCTGAATGGCCTGGTGCCAGATGTTGTGTTTGCCACCTGGGATGGGTCACTCTGAATGTCGGACCCCACGGATGGCTCCTCTATGGAGAAGCCCATGTTCTCAAACCCAGTGGCTGTTTCATCCAGGGATGGTTCAGTAGAAGAGACACTGACAGGACGAATGTCAGCTGAGTTCCTGTTGACTGCAATGTCCCTTGTTGTACTACTGGTGACATCAGCCATTGAACTATCTCTTTCTGGGACTTTAATATTAGGACAGGGCATCAGCTCCAGGAAGGGGTGTCTCCTGACCATGGGGGAGCTTCTGCATCCCTTGCCTGTTCCTTCCACATGCGCTTGGTGAAAATGATTCTCCACAGCAGGAAGAGCCGGTTCACTAGCTCTCCTCAAGGGCCGAGGGAGGCTGAGAAGACCTGAAGAGACCATGTTTATCCGGGACTTATCTTGTAGATGGCTATGCCCACAGCTCAGTTTGAATTTGAGGATATTTATGGTTGCTGTTACATTATTTTGTTGCCTGTGCTTTAGGGATGATACAATCTCTTTACAGGTATAGCCCATGCTGCACATAGTCTCCACGACCCTGGGAAGGATTTCTTTAGTGTCGGGTGGTACGTGTTCTGGAATGTGGCCCAGCTATGGTCGTTCCACAAGCTGACCTATTGTTATTCTGTACCCGGTGGGGACCATGAGTAAACGTGCCAGGATGATGTGACATGATTTTGATAGATGGTGGAGATTGGGACACATTGTGGTGGTGATGAGCCTGTGCATACCATCAGGGGTGATTTCTACATATGGGTAGTGCCCTGTTACCAGGACGTAGAGAACGACACCCAGGCTCCACATGTCACCTGCCATTCCATCATAGGGTTTCCTTGCCAAGATCTCTGGGGCCCAATAGAGCAAGGAACCACAGATCTCCTCCAACATCTGCCCCTCGGTGACTTTAGTTGCCATACCAAAGTCACACAGCTTGGCGTTTCCTGCTGTGTCCAGTAAGATGTTTTCTAATTTTATATCACGGTGCACGATGTGTCTTTGGTGGAGGAAGTACACTGCTGACACAACCTGCTGGAAAAGCAGTCTAGCCTCCTCCTCTAGACAGCCCGCTGCCCTGACGCAGCTCTCCAGATCTATGCCTGCCACATATTCTATGATCATGTAAGTGGTCGTCAGTGTGTCGATCATGTGAAAAAATCGAACGATGTTCCTGTGTTCTACAGACTGAAGGATGTTTACTTCACTGCTGATGTCAGCCACACTGTTGATGCTTTTCTCCAGGACCTTGACAGCCACTCGTGTATGTGTGGGAAGGTGGCAGGCCAGCTTCACCTCCCCAAATGAACCAGAACCTAAAGATAGTAACATCTTGAAATCCTTTTCAAGAATGTCCTCTTCCATGTGGCTGGCCATGGTGGTATGCTCAGTTCCAACCACTTTATCTCCTCAGAAATTTCAGATGCACACAGTGCTAAAAAAAAAAAAAAAATAATAATGTAGGTTTAGGGGAAAGTTTATTGTTTTGAATTCTCTGAATGAAATGTGTGATATCCTAATGATGATCTCCAGTGATATAAAATTTCTTGAAGACCCCAAACCCACAGAAGTAGATAGGGATCAAAGAAGGTTTGCTTGAGTCTGTAATGTGGAATTGCAAAAAACATGCTGAGATCCCTGACAGAATGAGGTAGTTCTTTTCATGGATGTGCCACAATGCAAACTGCTCAATCAAGCTCATCAATGGAGATCAGATACAGATTACATTCTATCACTATTGATGTTGTAACTGATAGAACTACAGTCCAGAGGACAGTTCTGGGATGTTACAGTGTTTATAAACCAATACTTTAGAAACTATTTTCAGAATTCTTACACAGATATAATTGTTGAATTAAGGTAAAATTAAAAGCATTTAAACACATGAGTCAAATTAATTTTAAACAATTTTGGACTTGCAACAATCAGTGCTCCACTCATGGCAGACCCCAAATATCATAGATTCTGGTGATAGTTCAGTACTTTCTAGAAATAGCAGGACCATGGATAGATAATAAATGAAGATAGAGGAAGCAAAGGAACACACCCAAACTCTTCCCTGTGCCACTCTTACCCTGCTGATCCCACAAACAAATAAATTCAATGAATACAGCAAGTTAACTTCCTTTACTTAGTGAACACACATGAGAAAAATCTTTGATGAGAGTTCTGGATACTTCACATCCATTTCAGCAACACACTCAAGAGTCCTTCATCACAGGGAAAACAGACTCACACAGCAGTTTAAGAAGAAAATATAACAAGCAAATAGACAACAGCAGAGCGTAGAAGGAGACTGTGGGGTAGAGTCCACATTCAATACAGTCACTAGAGCACTGTTGAGATGTGGGAAAGAGCTAACACTAGGTACAGTTTTTCCTGAAACAAAGCATGTGAATGAACAGAATTAAGATCTACTTGGTCTCTTCTGAGTCTGGAGGAATGAAGGTATCTGGGCATTTATGAGTCATAATATTAGTAAAAACAATGGAGGAGTATATAAAATTTACAGTGAAATAGCATCAGTATACAGTACAGGCCTGTATGAAAGCTATAATACAACTACTTATTCGCAATACGTAAAATTTATGTATATATATATTTATTTTATGTAACATGTAACACTTATTATATAGTTGTGATGATTATCACTATGTAGCATAGTATAATAAATTATAATAATAATGTCACATATATTATTATAATATACATAATTTCATTTGTATAAAATATAGAACATATACTACCCATAGTACATATGATGTGTAATATATATTTAGTTAGTTAGAAAATTGTGAAAATGTAAGAGAAAAGAAATGACAGAAAAATAAAATACTGAAGTTCTAAAATTTAAAATTGGGTATTCTTTAACTATGAAAGAATATATAGAAGCACATACCATGACTAGAACAGAGACAGAATTTAAAGGTATTCTCATTGAATCTTTTTTTTTTTTTTTTTTTTTTTTTCTGTGTTCAGGTGCTATCTTTAGGGAGCCTGCTTTTTTCTAAAGGGAAACAGAGGAGCAGTAGATCTGGGGGACATCGGAGATGGGGAACAACTTGGAGCAATGGAGGCAGCGTAATATGCAGCCAGGATGTACTAATGAAAGAAGAATAAATAAAAATGAAAAACATGAATATAAATATGAAACAACAAACCTAAATCCCAGGATTCATAAACAACAAACTGGAAACAACAGCTAATGACAATGTTCCACAAGTCTTTCAGTACTTCTGAAACCAAGGGAAGGAACAAGTTCAAGTTCTTTTCCTATAGGAAATATTACCCTAATTTTCAAACCATAGGAGACATTTTAAAAATATCCTATTTTCAGGCAATAATCTTAGCTGACAGGTCGGAAAATTCTCAGTGAGAATCATAATAGGGCACATCAAATTCAACCCAAATTAATAAGACCATAACTCATGATCAAGATGTCTTTAACAAGGAACACTAAACATTCATTCATGTACACAAACTGTCAAAACATGGCATGTACACAAAACTGAGGTTTAAGTCCTACATCTAGTCAGAAATCAGTGGAAGGCAGTGCCTTCAAGGAAAAGCTTGGAACTAGAAAAGTGTTACTACAAACACGCAATTCCACAAGCACAGGTATCACATTTTGTTTCCAACAGGTCAAGAGCAGGCAGGGGGATAGATAACCTTTATATAGTGTGAAGTACTTGTCAAATTCAGTGTGGAAGGGAAGGGAAATATAGCAAATAAATATGATCAAATTAGAGTTAAACAATATATCAAAGTTATGATCAAATTTCTCATTCTATACAATTAATGCGTACTGCTAAATTTGTAAAATACATAGGAACATGGGTATGAAATGACAAAGAATTTGAATGAAACCAAAACCAGTTATGTAAATGAAAGAGTAAATAAATGTCTACTGCTAAAGCCAAACGCAAACTGATAAATTGGGAAACACACTCACTATGACCAGATCCAATAGAATGGCCAAGTGTATGGCAAACAACTGAGACCAACTGCTCTCCCAAGAACCAACTGACTCTCTGAAGTACAGATAAAGCCCAGTCTCAGGCAGTGTCTTGGCTACCATACCTCACAAGGACTCCTTGTGATGTCACATGCAATGGACCAATCAAGGGTCAACAACAAACCCATGATGATTTTTAATTTTTTCTTTCAGTGTACAAATTCCCCCCCTGGGATAAATGTTCTTAGTAAAGAAAGCTTCTTTCCATCCACACCCCACCCCTGATACTTTCCCAAAAGTTGTAACAGATTTATTGCTGTCACACAATCACACATTGATAATACCTCTCCCACCTATACCCTGAATATAATCAATGAGCTCTTCTAGTGGCCTCAAGTACAGATCCCATCCACAGTTCTGGAGGACAGGTCTCATATTAACCAAGCCTCCTTCTTGGTGTTATATCTCCCCCTGATCAGAAACCTTAAGGTTTGTGGATACATGATCTGTCTGATAGGATTAAAACACCTTCAGATACCCACTGACTATCTATCAACACAACAACAATTTGTCTCAAAGGAAGATCCCTCCTAGCATCACTATCTGTTGTCTGTAATCTCTGGCCGTTCCTTCCATCCCCTTCTAAAAGAGAAAATATATCCAAGAAGGGGAAATAATAAATAAAAGTAAAAATTAAAGTACATGCAACAAAACTCGACAAAACACTCTGAAAATACTGAATATCAAGAAAAACTTTTACAGGGACCAAGACAATTCACTGATGAATTCTTTACCTGACCATCTAAAAGCACATTCACACCATACATCGTGATCCAGAAGCCTTCACACAGGAACATCATGATTCCTACACTCACACAAATTGACACACAGCATAGCATAATATAAAATTACTCAAGTATCATGATCACTCATCAAAGGTATATGTTTATGGTACAATCATGAAACTGGACATAGTATTACATTCAACATTCCAGTTCAACAAACAAAAATGTTCCATTTATTTCCTGGAGGGTCATGAACAAGCAGTGGGAAGAACTTTTCTTCCTTTGGGTTTTCTCCTCACATTCAATAGATGAGAAAGTGAAAGAGATTAGGAAAATGGGATCAGAATGCAGTATAGGCAGATATGGGAAGTCACGGTCAAATTCTTCATCCTATACAGCTACTATGTAGCATTTCATATATAATTACATACTAACAATCACAAAAATGAAGGCAAAAAGAAGCGGATAAAAGTGAAATTGGGTGAAATGAGAAAATAACTTAAAGGCAGAAATCAAAACCCAAACCAGTGATATAAATAAAGTAAGAAATAGAACAGTGAGTATAGGACAAGCTGAAATCTGAGAAACTCACTATGTTGCGATCCTACAGGTTTGGAAAAGTCAAAATAAAAAGAGAAACAGCTGAGTCCAACTGCTTACTCCACCTTGACCAACTGCTTCTCTGAAGCACAATGAGAAATGAGACTCCAGGGTAGTGGTCTTTCATTAGACGTTATGTATCTTACCTCACACGGAATCCAAGTGATGTCACATGCAATGATCCAATCACATTTTGGCAAAAGGCACAGCCATTTTTAAAATTTTTTAATCTTACATTCTTGTCTCCAGCCATTCTACAGCTAACTTTTCTAATGGATGCAATTTAATACTTGTGGAAGGTCTACTTGCAGGATGTAGAGTTTATTTAACCTCAGATTTAAGGAAACATAAGTCAATGGGAGCATTAATGGCAGGGACATCAGTAAAGTTGTTCAGTTGATTATTTGGCATTGTAATCTCAATATTCTTCTGACGTGTCCCTGTCTTCTCCAATTAATATTTCTTCAGTATCAAGCGTGCTTCTCTACTTAGGCAGTGTCATGTTACACTTCAGATGTCATGATGACTACAGTCAATCAGTGGTTCTTTCTCGCCCCCAGCCCTCTCTCATTTAAAAAACATGGCATATGTGACCTTAAACTGACTGAAATAGAGTGCCTGTCCTCCTTCAGTGAGGATCTTCCAGAATTGACATACACATCTCAAAATATGTAGCAGCTCCCTAAATCAAA